TGTATTTGTTTATTTTTTTAACTCAGAAGTGAATTGATGACCTTATGCCTGCCAGGCAGGTGCTGTGTGGCTGAGCTGTATCCCCAGCCCAACAGCACTTTACTACACTGAGTAAACCAAAATGCAGCCCCATTTTATTGAGTCCATGCTGTGTTATGGGCACGTCATTTGCTTAGCACTCTTTATTTATTTTTTATTTTTATTTTTATTTTTTATTAGCACTCTTTAAAACATGAGGCTACGCGCTTGGTGATTGACTCTGGGCTAAGCACTCATACCCAGGGCTTTGGCAGGGAGTAATGTGCTCAGCTGCAGGAAAAACTGGGCTCAAGGTGGCCGTGTTCATTCAGGTCATCGTATTTTCCTCTTCAATCTGATAGACACCTCGCATCTCATCAAGTTCTCCAGCATCTGTCCCGACTGCACCAGCTCTTTCTCCTGTAACTGCTCCCAAGAATTTTACAACTATTACATTGGTCCCAGAACAGGTAACAACAGTGTCACGTGTATTTGTTGATGTCTTCTTCTAAGCATTATCTATATAATTTGTTTTTTTTTTTAAGAACAGCGTGGAGTATAGGTACATGACTACTCTCACTACATTTTTTTATTTTATTTACTTATTTGTTTATTTTTATATATTTAGTACAGGGTCTGTAGGGTCTCACTACACAGATCTGACTTCTAGTGATCCTCCTGTTTTCAGCCTCCCAAGCGCTGGGATTACAGGTGTGCACCACCACACCCAGTCTTAATCCCTGTCTCAGCAGGCTCTTGGGACAGGGCCAGCACAGCGACCAAACCCTGGTTCCTGTACCTGCCTAAGCAGGCACTTTAATCCACGAGTTATCTGGCTGGCTCCAATATATATATAATATTTATTTATTTATTTGAGATAGAATCTCACTATGCAGCTCAGGCTGGCCTTGAGCTCCCTTTATAGCCCAAGATGGTCTCAAACTTGCAAAGATTGTCCTGCCTTAGTCTCCCAAGTGCTGGGATTGCAGGAGTGCACCTAGCTACCCTCACTTTAGAGAGGACAGAACTCAGCTTAGGTGATACGACTTACTGTGGTTCATTTCTAAGCAGAAGTAACCCAGTAAGTGCTCTCTGATTCCAAAGCTAATGCTTTGGCTAGTGGAGTTTAGGGTTTTATGGTGCCTTGGTTGTGGACTGGCTCTTGTGTGTACCAGATGATTCCTGTTGGTACTGGTAAGACTGTTCATGTATCATTTCAGAGAGCTCATTAAATAATAGTCTTGCCATTTGTATTAATTGTGTCTATTAGTTGTATTAACTGAACTGCATTTGCTTCTTTGTCCCTCTGTACTTATTAGCGATCCAGACAAATTAATAAAAAGCTTATGTCTCTTTTTTCTTTTTTGGTGCCAGGAATAAAACTTAGGACCTTACACTTGCCGTCTAGACAGGCTGTGTACTACTGAGCTATATCCCTAGCCCCTGAAGCTTATGTCTTTGTATAGAAGAGCTAGAATCTTTCTTACACAAACATCCATGTGATTAACTCCTCTTAGAATTTAATCCAGGAGGAAAAAAAAAAATGTTTCTCTTTTAATCCTTCTTCCTGTAATATCATGAGAATGCTAATGTATGAGTCACTTTTTGATCACTGGGACAAAATATCCAGCACCCTCCATTTGAAGGAGGAGGGCTTTATTGTGGCCTAGGGTGTCAGAGGGCTTAGGCTGTGGTTGGCTGACTTGGGCAGGACTGGCTTGAGAGATGGGCATGACAGGAGAGCTTCCCAGGTGGCAGTGAGGGGCAACAGCAACAAGCAGGGAGCCAGGGGCAGGAAGACCTGCTTCCAGATCATGTCCTCAGCAGCTCTGCCTTCTCCCTGGCCCTACCATCTAATAGCATAGTTGACTATGAATTCCTCAGCAAATTGATGCACAGATGAGTGACAGACCCCTGCCCAACAGTCACCCCCCAATAAAGCCCCATCTTTGAACACATGAGACTTTGGGGGAACTTGTAGATCTAAAAGCAACATCTAACAGTCTTCTTTATTTTCCCCTCCCTTTTCTAGTTGATTACCGAGACCACTTGCCATTCTGTCCCAATTCCTAGTACTTTCTCTTGGCAGCTGCCTGGTACTTCCCCCCCACTCTTGGTACTGATTCTAGTCTTTTTATTTCCTTAATGTTCAGCTTTCTCGGACATATTATTTTTGAGTTTATTACAAAAGATCTCAAGTACATTTAGAAGGTGACAGTGTAATTTGGAGAGTAATTATATACATATAATATGTACTATAT